CCCCCCCCCCCCCCCCCAATCTACCATCTCCCAGCAGAGCACAAGCGACACACTTAGTCGCCATCCAAAGGTTTTCAAGGACTGGGTTTAGGCTTGTTCCCGAAACTGGCTGGACTCTGGGAAATGGTCCTTCTGTCATAGGATCATGGAGTTGGAAGGGACCTCCGGGGTCATCCAGTCCAACCCTTTGCACAATGCAGGAAATCCACAACTAACTCCCCTCAAAAAAACTTTTATTCTAATCCACCAGGGCAATCCTCTTTCATTTTCCTTTTGACACATTGCTGTCTGTGGGGTCAGTTTGGTGTAGTGGTTAAGTGTGTGGACTTCAATCTGGGAGAACCGGGTTTGATTCCCCACTCCTCCACTTGCACCTGCTGGATGACCTTGGGCAAGCCGTAGTTTTGGCACAGCTGTTCTTGAAAAAGAGCCCTTTCTGTCAAGAGCTCTCTCAGCCCCGCCTGCCTCACAGGGTGTCTGTTGTGGGGAGGGGAAGGGAAAGGCGTTTGTGAGCCGCTCTGAGACTCCCTTGGGTAGTGAAGGACAGGGTTTAAATCCAATCTCTTCTTCTTCTTTGTGTGTCCTCCCTCCCCAGAAAGAAGCCTCTCTTCACAGCGGAGTGACTGAAGGCATCTTTACACAGTCAGAGGTGACCCAGGAGAAGGGGAAGGAGATGGAAGAGCAGAACCCAGAAGGACCTGGAACTGGCACAACAGCGAGGAAAGGCCCCCAGTCCACCAAGGCTGGGAGTGGCGTTGAATCCTGGGAAAGCCCGGGGCCAGATATCAGTTATCAGCTCGCTGCAGTCTCAGACGTACATTGCCGACGCTTCCGGCAGTTCCGCTACCAAGAGGCTGCTGGGCCCCGAGAGGTTTGCAGCCAGCTCCACGGACTTTGCAGCCACTGGCTGGAGCCGGATAGGCGCACCAAGAAGCAGATCCTGGACCTGGTGATCCTGGAGCAGTTCCTGACTCTCCTGCCCCAGGAAATGCAGGGCTGGGTCAGAGGATGCGGGCCGGAGACCAGTTCCCAGGCGGTGGCCCTGGCCGAAGGCTTCCTCCTGAGTCAGGCCGAGGAGAAGAGGCAGGCAGGACAGGTGAGGGGGATTCCCTCCAGAGATATGCCCAATTCAAGCAAGGACATCTGGCCTTATCTTCAGGTTTCCCTGGGAGATATTTGTCCAAGTGTTACTCACCCAAGTGGGAGGTTTAATGGCCTACTTCAGCCGCCTCTTCCAGTGGAGAATTTCTGATCCCTGCAGATAACTCACTAGGCCTGCTGACGGAAGGGTGCAGAGTCTGGGAGTGGGGCAGGATCCATTCCTTGGCCTGGGAAATTACAGGCCTGTCCGTTTGACATCAATACCTGGGAAAATCCCTCCAGGTATGTCCACTTCAAGCAAGGATATCTGGCCTTATCCTGAAGTGTCCCTGCCAGATATTGGTCTTGTGCATTAAAAACTGGTTAATTAACAGGAAACAGAGAGTGAGTATAAATGAGCAATTTTCACAGTGGAGGGTGGTAAGCAGTGGGGTACCGCAGGGATCAGTACTGGGTCTGGTGCTTTTTAACTTGTTCACATTGATGATTTGGAGTTGGGAGTAAGCAGTGAGGTGGCTAATTTTGCGGATGACACTAAATTGTTGAAGGTGGTGACAATCAGGGAGGATTGTGAGGCACTCCAAAGGGATCTGTCAAGGATGGGCAAGTGGGCGTCAACGTGGCAAATGAGGTTTAACATGGGCAAATGCAGAGTAATACACATTGGAGCCAAAAATCCCAACTATAAATGCACATTGCTGGTGTAGACTGACCAGGAGAAAGATCTTGGAATCGTGGTAGATAACTCACTGAAAATGTTGACTCAGTGTGCAACAGCAATAAAAAAAATGCTATTCTAGGGATTATTAGGAAAGGAATTGAAAACAAATCAGCCAGTATCATAATGCCCTTATATAAATCGGTGGTGTGGCCTCATTTGGAATATTGTGTACAGTTCTGATCACCACAACTCCATAAAGATATTATAGCACTAGAAATAAAGGGCAACTAAAATCAAATGCATAATTCTAGTATGGGAAAGACTTCTCATGGCAGTTTGAGAGCCAGTTTGGTGTCGTGGTTAAAAAAGAGCAGTTTCTGTCAAGAGCTCTCTCAGCCCCACCTACCTCAGAGGGGAAGGGAAAGGAATTTGTAAGCCACTCTGAGACTGTTTTGGGTAGTGAAGGGCGGGGTATAAATCCAATCTCCTCCTCCTCCTCCTCCTCATCATCATCTTCTTCTTTTTCTTCTGTAGTATATGTGAAAAGGATCTAGGGGTCTTAGTAGACCATACACTGAACATGAGTCAGCAGTGTGATGCAGTTGCTAAAAAGGCAAATACAATTTTGGGCTGTATCAACAGAAGTATAGCATCCAGATCGCACAAAATGATGGTACCACTTTACTCTGCTCTGGTTAGACCTCACCTAGAATATTGTGTTCAGTTTTGGGCACCACAATTTAAGGAGGATACAGACAAGCTGGAAGGTGTCCAGAGGAGGGCAGGGAAGACGGTGAGGGGTCTGGAGACCAAGTCCTATGAGGGAAGGTTGAAGGAGCTGGGTCTGTTTAGCCTGGAGAAGAGACGACTGAGAGGTGATATGATCACCATCTTCAAGGACCTGAAGGGCTGCCATATAGAGGATGGTGTGCAGAGTTGTTTTCTGTTGCCCTAGAAGGTCGGACCAGGGTTGAAATTAAACCAGAAGAGTTTTTGGCTAAAGAGCGGTTCCTCAGTGGAACAGGCTTCCTCGGGAGGTGGTGGGCTCTCCTTCTTTGGAGTGCTTTCAAACAGAGGCTAGATGGCCACCTGATAACAATGCTGATTGTGTGAACTTAGGCAGATCAGGGGAGGGAGGGCAGGAAGGGTTGCCTCAGGGCTTAGTTCTCATGGCCTTTCCTTACACGCCCAGGGAAATGCTGATCGCCACTTTAAGAACATAAGAGAAGCCAGTGTTGGATCAGGCCAGTGGCCCATCCAGTCCAGCACTCCATGGCCAAGAATACCAGGTGCCACTTTGGGGGTCAGGAAGCAGTTTTTCTCCAGGCCAGTTTGGCCAGGGATCCTGGAGGTTTTTTGCCATCTTCTGAGCATAGAGAAGGGGTCACTGGGGGTGTGTGTGTGTGGGGAGATATTGTGTGTGGGGGGGTTGGACTAGATGACCCTGGAGGTCCCATCCAATTCTATGACTCTGTGATTCTATGATTAAGGGAATAGAACACTTTCCCTATGAAAAAAGGTTAAAGAGGTTAGGGCTCTTTAGCTTGGAGAAACGACGGCTGAGGGGTGACATGATCGAGGTTTACAAAATTATGCATGGGATAGAGCAGGTAGAGAAAGAAGGACTTTTCTCCCTTTCTCACAGTACAAGAACTCATGGGCAGTGTTCCCTCTAAGCTGAGTGAGTGTGAGCCAGCTCACAGTTTTTTACCCTCCGGCTCACACATTTTTCGTCTTAGCTCAGGGTGGATGGGGCTCCAGAGCAAACTAATTTATGCAGCAGCCAGATCGCTCGCTCACATCTTTAATTCCAGTAGCTCATAAAGTAGAATCTTTGCTCACTAGACTCCACAGCTTAGTGGGAGCATTGGTCGATAGTTGGGGGGAGAAGAGGCCTGAGGCTCAAATGCTGGAAACTGGTGATTTTGGTATCCTGAGACTTGCAGTTTTAGAGGAAAAGATAGCGGAAATATGGGAATAGCCTTTCTATCCCTGTTGTCTCTGTGTGTCTCTTGGGGGGGGGGGGGTTGAGATAAAAATGGTTCATGACATGTCGACAGTAAGGCAATTCTGCTCACATCTTTAATTCCAGTAGCTCATAAAGTAGAATTTTTGCTCGCAGGACTCCACAGCTTAGAGGGAGTGTTGCGTGTGGATATTCAATGAAATTAATTGTACCACCAATGCCCCTTGATCTCTGTGTATGGCCATCATGATGCGGGCATCTTGGGTAAGAATGGGACGTTTTAGGGGACGGCCATCTTGTTTGTTAGAAATCTTAACTTCGGAATTGGTTTAGAGGAGCACCAAAACTGTTATTAATTGTGATGTATTTTTAATATTTTGTACTGTTTTATCTGGTGATATTCCTTGTAAGCCGCCCTGAGCCTGCGGGGAGCGCGGGATAGAAATGTAAATAACAAATAAATAAATAAATAAATAAAATAAATAATGAGCAGTAAGTTTGGAACAGGAAGTACTTCTTCAACCAAAGAGTAATTAACATGTGGAATTCACTGCCACAGGAAGTGGTGGCAGCTACATGCATGGAAGGCTTCAAGAGGGAATCGGATAAATATATGGAGCAGAGGTCCATTAGTGGCCCCTATTAGCCACAAGGTAGAGATAGGGACTCTGGGGCAAGTGATGCTCTGTCTTCTTGGTGCTTGGGGGGGGGCAACAGTGGGAGGGGCTTCTAGTGTCCTGGCCCCACTGGTGGACCTCCTGATGGCACCTGGTATTTTTGTCCACTGTGTGACTGGATAGGCCATTGGCCTGATCCAGCATGGCTTCTGTTATGTTCTTAAGTGTTAATTATCCAAATGGGAGTTCTTACAGCCTCCTTCATCCCCCTCTTCAACTAGAGAATTTCTTATCCCTCCAAATAACTCACCAGGTCCGCTGCCCAGAGATATAGGTGGTAAGGGGATGGGGGGGGGGGGATGATGCAGAAAGTGCCACGTAAATGCTGAGCAGTTGCAAAAGTCATGAAAGGGGGAGAATGCGCAATCCAGGCTGGGTGTGACTCTTTCCTTCTGTTGATGAATCTGAATGGAATGCCTCTGGTTTCCTCCTGAATGAGGCAGAGGAGAAGAGGCAGGCAGAACAGGTGAGGGGATTCTGTCCAGATATGGATGTTTTATGGATGTTTTTAACTGTATCTATATACATTTTATGCAAGCCGCCCTGAGCCCGCTTTGGTGGGAAGGGTGGGGTATAAATCGAACTAATAAATAAATTCAAGCAGTGATATCTGGCCTTCTTGCCAGACATCGGGCCAAGTGTTAATAATCCAAATGGGCAGTATCACGAGCTCCTTCAGTGTCCTCTTTTACTGGAGAACTTCTGATCCCTCCGGATAACTCACCAGGTCTGCTGCTGGAAGGGTGCAGAGCCTGGGAGTGGGGCAGGATCCATTCATAGAATCATAGAATCATAGAATGTTAGAGTTGGAAGGGGCCTTGCAGGTCATCTAGTCCAACCCCCTGCACTCTGCAGGAGCCTGTTTCCCGTTCCACCTCTTAACCCATCTCCCTCCCTGCTGTTTCAGATGCGGGCACCATCCCTGGAGAAAGAAGCTACATTCCCTGAGGCGGAAGGCGCTTCCTCGGAGCAAGGGCAGAGGGCGCAGGCCGTGGAGCATGCCCAAGGTGCTCTGTCCTGTGGTAAGGACTCCTCGTGCCTGGATGGGAGTGGGGCACTGCATGAATGTGAATAAAAACTTTCCCTCCGGCATCCAGCCAATAACATTCCTTCTCTTAGCTGGGGCTGGCCAATCTCATTCCCGGTTCTTTTGTCTGTGTAAAACTGTTTTAAGGGCTGCCCGTCACATGTCCCAGCCTTTGGAGTTCATTTCTTAAGGGGAGATTCTCACAAGCCTCTCCTGAGTAACGGGTGAAGCATGTGGGTGCATGTTAACTTCTTGATGATTGCGACACCAAAAGTTACACATCTACCTCACAGGGTGTCTGTTTTGGGGAGGGGAAGAGAAAGGAGTTCGTAAGCCGCTCTGAGACTCCTTTGGGTAGTGAAGGGCAGGGTATAAATCCAATCTCCTCCTCCTCCTCCTCCTCCTCC